TAACAGTTTTGTAACTTTAGTCGGAACCAGTTGGACTCAGCTCCAGAGTACTAATAGAAAGCAGCAAAGTAAGGACACATTGGAGCAATTTATGTCATAGGTATCATCTTACTGTTTAGCGACGATGAATGCAAACAAAGGGGAATAGCTATACTAAGCGAAATGAAGAAATCAAGGGTGTTAAGAAGAAAGTTGAAGGATTATCGCAAGAATCTAAACCATATGTTGTGCATGACGATTTGGGTAAACAAGTCTCTTCATATAAGTCATCTACCGATATGTTGTACCCAGACACATCCCGCGAAGACACATGGTTGGCCCCCAATGACAATAGAAGAAGAAGAAGTGTCGTGTGATGCTTGTATATGTGATGCAGAACTTGCTTTTATATTTGACGGGCTTCCTGGAATCAAATAATCTTGTTAAGATTAGTTCGGATTGAGTAATCCACGTACTATTGAAATATTATCCAATTATTGTATCTTTCTTGCTAAGTTTGATTATAAAAATTTCTATTTGTCACTTTTCCATCAAGCAAAGACTAATACTTCAACTGAAATGAACCGATTGACCAAACTGTGACAAAGTTCAAGTTCAATAACCAACTGGATACAAGAAAATGAAGTATAGTGATCTGTGTAATTAACCCAATACCAAATAAACAAACACCACCACAAGGAAAATATGGCTTCTTGAATGATCAATAGTCAAATACTTGAATATTGGGTAAGCTATGTATGTTTCAATTAAAATCCAGACTATGCAAGTTCTTTAGAAACCTCCGGGAAAGTTGCCAATACAAACTAATGGAACACAAGGGAACAGTAGTACCATTTTATAAGAACCAACTAACAGAAACGAACCTGCACTTGAAAGTAAAGACGGTCATGCATATGTCCAACTTGAAATGTCAATGTCAAACGAAAAGATTCTTCAGTTTTTTGAATGCTCTTACAGCATAAACAAACAAGGAACTGCCACCCAAGATACCTGCACTGTTTGCGCAACCAGACATTTTTCAATCTACTTGGACAGCAAAACCAGAAAAGAGAGTGGAGAATATAAATACACAAACTCGAGAATACAGATCATATGTGCTTGGAAGAGAAGATAGTATGATCAGCAGTTTTCATATACCTGGGTCAACAAAGCTAGAATAGGGAATGGAGGATAGAGTACACAAATTCGAGATATTGAAATAAATAGCATTAGCTCAGAAGAAAAAGACTCACATTCGGAATAAAATCTCACTCGTGATGCTTTTTTGAGAGCATCAAAAGATGTAGCGAACCAAAAACCATGAAATTTCAACATTATATTAAATTGTTTGATTTTTCCTTTCCACTCTTCGCAATCAAAAAATTCCTATTATTCAAATGCATTCCCATTGCAGAAATTGAGATGTGATGAAATCACTTGTACTAACAGTTTACGTTCCAATTTCACAAGAACTAAGTACCAAACAAACAACAGAATGATTTGTAAAATATCAGCTTGCACAACTAGATTAGCTTGGCCATTTGTTATTCTTCAACATTATATTTTTAAATACTTAATTCAGAAGGGATGCTTTTGCAGCTGGGACTCAAAAATAGCCCTGATGCTGTTAAGATCAGTGAATAAAGTAAGTAAAACTACACCAAGGATTCTATACCATCCGACAAAGAAGGAATGATCATCCACTACCTTGAACATTGACATAATTGGACAGTAGTTTAAATCACATCCAGTATCTTTAGTTTGCTATACCAAAACAGTGCCTCACCATTATGCATTGTGGGAGAACCAGGAACACAACAGACCGTTGGATCTCATAAGAGCATGTTTGTCTAAGCTTAAAAGTAAAAGTTGGTTCTAAGAAATGGCCAAATGCTTCATGGAGTTGACAACTTAAAATTTCTGGAGTAGATCATACGGTCACTAATCAGAAGTGACACTGAAACGGCAAAATCTGGACTCGCATCAATTCTCTGTAGTATTAAAAAGGAACGTTCTTCAATTCCATATCAGGAATGTCCTTCATTGCAGCAATCTTTTCCCTGCAAAATGTGGACTAGCATCAATTTTCTCAGTATTAAAGAGGAGAACAGGTTTTTGTCTGAAGAAGTTCAGCGAGTTCTGACATCGCGGACACAGATTGGTGAAGCTTGGACTATCAACAGTAATCTCCCATGTATGGATGGAAAGAAATGGCTGATATTTCCGGCAAAAAGTGAAGCCCAAGCCGACATCCACTTGCATAACTTAACTTCTCGACTCACCCAAATCTCAGAGCATCTTGCTCTGAGCACTTCAAACCGGCTTGGTGCTCCTTTGGATTTGATTTAACTTTTTTGCTTAAAAAGTTTGCAGAGAAGGTTTTTCCTTGCAGTTGAGTTGTGTTCAGTTCTCTGTGGGTTTACGCTGGCTGCCTTATGAGTAATTTGTCATGTGTAACTATACCAAATCGTCGATTTTGCTATGATTTTTTGATGAAGGATCTTGTTTTAATCTGGCGTATGATGAGTGATGCCAGTTTTGAACCTTTTGAGTTACGAAAAATTGAATAAAGAGGAAAGTATTTGTAACAAAATTTTGTAATTTGTTTAGTTTTTGTTTTCTAGCACTATGCTGAACCTTTTCAAAAATGTTCTCTTATACATATTTCACTTCCACAATATAAAACATGTACAAACGATCAATGCTGTTGGTGGAAGAAAACTCAAAAAAACACATTAATTACATCGTTTGATCATACTGCTGGTTGAAGGGCTGTGCATTAATACCAAATTCATAGAATGCTACTGTCGCCCATAAAGATCGATGATGTTGATGGAACAACTTCTTCATTAACTATGAAATCTCTCAAACTTGTACATTTCACGTTATCCTTGTTTCCACTTCCTTGTTTTACCAACGATACGTGTCTGTTGCAAACACTTTGTTGATTTTCTGGAACCCGTAAAATGTTAATCACGAGATCATCTACGCCAAACTGTAGGTTGGGTCCCATATCTGATAAAGTAGTGATATGAATCATTTGTTACTGTACGTATTCTTTCTTTGTTGCATTAATTAAAAGACGTAAAATAATGAGATCATTAACAACCACGGCATATTATGTAATTTTTCATATTTTCTTCTCTTCCAACTTACAATGTTGAGATTCCATTACTTTTATAAACAATAAAATAATTTCCTCAAAGTCTCTCACACGCATGCACAAGGATCATAAAGAAGATTGAAAAGAGAACCGTTGACAACAATAAAATCTCAATTTTTATTTCTAATAATATTCACTTCTTACATAAATGTTTTGTTGTTCTGTTCAATTCTTTTTTGCATTAATTAGAGGAATTGAAACAATTAAAATTTTGGAAATCACAAAACAAAACTTGTCAGTTATATTGAGAATCGAGTCGCAATCTTTTAATTCACACCCAGATGTCATTTCCAAAATTATGGACGTGTTCGGTAGAAATTAAAATCGGATTAAAATTGAAAAATTAGTCGTTATTGTTGACTTTTATTAGACGAGTGTGACCCAATAACGACTATATTTTCAGTTTTAATTGAATTTTAAGCACGACCGAGCAGGCTCTATATTGACTTGGCCTCCGCTTTTGTAATGACTTGAGTAAACAAACTCTTTATTTTGATGACATTATTAGATATTATTTAATATTAAATACCATATCATATCATCTGATATTATTGTTTAATAATATTTAATTCTGACTAATATATGGTATTTCGTTAACATATTATGAGTCCTATTTTTTTAAATTTTATTTTCAATCATACATTATCGGGTTAATACCCTAAATAGTCACCGAACTTTGCCAAAAGTTCCCAATAGGTCACCAAACTTCAAAAGTTCTCTAAATAGTCACTGAACTTTGCAATAAATTCCTAGGAGGTCACTGAACTTCGTTAATACCTTAAATAGTCACCGAACTTTGCCAAAACTTTCCTAGATAGTCACTCAACTTTACAAAAAATTCATAATTGATCAATGACCCATTGATGTATGGGGTCTTAATTTACAAAGTTCGGTGACTATTTCACTCTTGAGAACTTTTGGCAAAGTTCAATAACTATTTAGGGTATTAACCCTACATTCTCCCATAAACTAATTTTATACATAAATTAAAAATTTTTCTCTATATTACAATTTCACGTCTTCTGAAAAATCAATACAAAAAAACCCACAATCTGAAAAGTGACAGTTTGTACTATTTCTACTTTTCTTATATGTTGCATTAAGTCAAAATATTCTAGGATTTTTCCAATTGTACATTTGTCGGTTCCACACTAATGTGGGAGGTTGTAAGATTTTACAATCATCTAATGATTATATACCCAGCACATTTCTTAGCACTTTAGCATGATTGTGTGGATATGATTACTTTTCAAAATAAATAAATAAAAACACCATTCATTTTGTAACAAAACTACTAAAGTCCCACAATTATTTTTGCCCTCCGCTGATGTATTTTTTCCAATCACACATATTATTAATTAATAAGCAATATTTCACTTTCCCTAAACTTAATTAAAGTTGTTAATTAATGGATAATAAGATTTGAGTGTAGTGATGTTGAACTTCTTAAATAATCTCAGATAATCTTTTATTATTTTTTTTCAAATTAAGAATTGTGTTTAATTGCTGAGAAGGGGAAAAGTCAATTTCAACCATGCAGTTTATTTATTGGTAATTATGAAGCTAGAAGGGGCACTATACCAAATTGTCGATTTTGCTATGATTTTTTTACGAATGGATCTCATTGTAAGCTGGCTTATGATGAGTGATGCCAGTTTTGAACCTTTGGTTTATGAAAAATTGAATAAAGTGGAAAGTATTTGTAACAAAATTTTATAATTTGTTTAGTTTTTGTTTTCTAGCACTATGTTGAACCTTTTTAAAAATGTTCTCTTATACATATAAAACATGTACGAAAGATCAATGTTGTTGGTGGAAGAAAACTCAAAAAAACACATTAAGTACATCGTTTGATCATACTGCTGGTTGAAGGGCTGTGCATTAATACCAAATTCATAGAATGCTACTGTCGCCCATAAAGATCGATGATGTTGGTGGAACAACTTCTTCATTAACTATGAAATCTCTCAAACTTGTACATTTCACGTTATCCTTGGTCCCACTTCCTTGTTTTACCAACGATACGTGTCTGTTACAAACACTTTGCTGATAATTTTCTGGAATCCTTAAAATGTTAATCACGAAATCATCTGCGCTAAACTTTAGGTTGGGTCTCATATCTGATCAAGTAGTGATCTGAATCATTTGTTACCACATTCGATCTTTGTTGCATTAATTAAAAGATGTAAAATAATGAGATCATTAACAACCACGACATATTATGTGATTTTTCATATTTTCTTCTCTTTCAACTTACAATGTTGAGATTCCATTACTTTTATAAACAATAATTTCCTGAAAGCCTCTCGCACATGCATAAGGATCATAAAGAAGATTGAAAGGAGAACCGTTGACAACAATAAAATCTCAATTTTTATTTCTAATAATGTTCGCTTCTTACATAAATGTTTTGTTATTATGTTCAATTCTTTGTTGCAGAGGAACTGAAACAATTAAAACTTTGGAAATCACAAAACTAAACTTGTTAGTTATATTGAGAATCGAGTTATATCACAATCTCACGAGCGGTCATTTAATTAATTATACTCAAGTGTCATTTCCAAAATCATATTGACTTGGCCTCTACTTTTGTAGTGACTTGAGTAAACATACTATTTATTTTGACGATATTATTAGACACTATTTAATATTAAATACTAGGCCTGGGCACGGTTCAGATTTGGGTCGGTTTCAACCACAACCTGAAACCAAAATCAACTAAGTCGGTTTGGATAAATTTCAACCCAAAACCGACCCAATCAAGCTCTTAAACCAAACCAACCCAAACCGAATCAGTTTAGATCGGTTCGGTTAGTCGATTTTGTCTTTGGCGTGAATTTAAAGGGGGAAAAAAAGTTTAAAGCTTTTGGGCCCAATTTGAGTACACCCAATCATTTTTTTTAAACACAAATCCATGACCTGTTATTAATACACAATTTTGTAATTAACACAAATCCATATGATGTAAGCTGTAAATAAAGCAAATTCATAACCTATTATTAATAAATCAGATTTTGCACCCATTTTACACCATAAATAATAAAAAAAAAAAATTGAAAGAGCTAAATCGTGTAGTACTTAAAAATTAAAATTTGAAATACTATTTCATTACCTGTACCTAAAACAAAATTAATAACAAATATTACTCATAACATTCAATCCAAATACAATAACTAAAATTTGGAACTCTAAGGTGCATTTTTCTTTATGTTTCAGCTTTGTGTTTTGAGTTTTGAATTTGTTTTGTGTTTTCAGTGTCTGTTTTGAAATTTCTGAAAATGCGTTCTTTTTGCCATTCTGAAAAACTGTTTCTGAAAACATAAAAATGGAAAACGCGTTTACTTTGAAATTTTGAGAATTTTTTAAGAATATTTTATTCAAAAAAATGAGTATTCAATAAATTTTAATTGTGCAATGTTAATATAGTATTAAATAACATATAGAATTTAAAATTGGTGAAACGTAAGTTTCTTTTTCAAGATATTAAAAACACAACCTACATTACATTTGATGAAGATACGATGAGAATTTTACGTATCATGACAAAATAAGCAGATACTGAACTACATAAAAAATGAATCCACGGAGTCATGTGCGACGTCTTGAGTAGTCATTCCACATTTGTGTAGCAATTTGATCCCTAACTTGTCCCATTTGAGCTGTTTGACTAACATCAAAATGTATGGTTTCTTGTGCATGACTTGACTCTGGTATATCTTCAAACACCATATTCTCCTCTGAATACTCAACGAACAACCTATCTAAAGCGTGCTCCTGGCAAATAAAGTTATGTATTGCGCAACATGCAGTAGGGATTTGTCCTTGTCTACTAAGAGGATAATTGGTTATCAATTTCAAAATAGGAAATCTTGCTTTTAAAACTCCAATGCAACGTTCAATAATATTACGGCACGAGGAGTGTCGATAATTGAACAATTCTTCCTTCCCACGTAGTCTTCC